CGATAAAAATCGGGACAGTCCCGCCTAAATCGGGACCCTGATAATAATGATTATCATTATGTATATGCATATGTACATAATAAAGGGTGTCCCATTAAGACCGCCTATTTTAAATTTAGTGTCATTTTTTTGTGTCAATCGTAGAGGTGGGAAGTTTAGTTCACTTTCCTGATTTCGATCTTTCGATCTCGTTCATTAAAGTGAATAGTACAAAGGACTAGTTCGTTTAGTTCACTGATTTATAATCGGATTTGTCGGATTTACGTAGTTTCGTTCGCGAACTACACTTCTCTAGTAGTTCAACTGAACTATATTGAGATTGATTGATTGATTTGCACCAAAGAAGTTCTTGGAATTGCACTTGCTGCTGGTCAAAATGGTACGCTGTTGCCAAAACCATTAAGTGGTTGATTTGGTTGCCTATTTTAGGGACAATTACGAATTTGCGTGAACAAAAAATCCATTAGTAAATACGGATATAATGAAATATATCTACGGATTTTTAGTTTAGTTCGAATTGATTCGCTCTTTTTAGTTTTGGTGATTGAATCTTTTAGTTCAGTTACAAAATTCGATCTTTTGAACTAGTTCGTTCGCGAACTACACACCTCTAGTCAATCGTACAGCGTTGTTGTTGGACAGTGGTCATGTGTGAACATTGAGGTTAAGTCATGAAGATTTACACGGACGCACAACGCATAGAAATTGTAAAAATCCACTACCGAAATGGTGAGAATTTTTCGGAAACGGTTTGAAGATATCGTGGATTTTTCGGTCACCATAACGCACCTTCTCGCCGTACTGTGGTCCGATTAATCGTGCAATTTGAAACGATTGGGTCAATTCAAACCAAAAAGAGACATGTCCGTGTTCGTGCATTCTGGTCTGCTGAAAATATTGCAGCAGTTAGTGAAAGTGTTGAACATAATTATTCCACCTCGATTCGCCACCGTTCCCAGCAATTGAGACTCTCTCAAAGCAGTTTACAGCAAATTTTGGCCAAATACCTGCATTTTCATACGTACAAGATTCGGTTGACACAATATTTAAAGACAGCAGACCATGCCCAGCAACGAAACCATGAAATTATTGAGGACAAAATTTGAAGGCAGAGTTATCTCGCGGGCGAGGATGTGATGTGGCCAGGCCGACCATGCGATTTGACGCCGCGCCGTTAGATTTCTTTCTTTGGGGTTTTTTGAAGGAAAAGGTTTATGCTAATAACCCAAGAACAGTTCCTAAACTAAAACATGAGATTCGACGGGTCATTGATGAAATTGAGCCGGCACTATGCCAAAATGTATTCGAAAATTTTGTCAAAAAAATCAACGTGTGCCGTCAGTCACATTTATCGGATATTCTTTATTGCAATAAAAATATCTTAACTTTTTAAATAAACACGGCATTTTTTTAAATTTTAAAATAGGCGGTCTTAATGGGACACCCTTTAGATACCATGTACCCAAATTATATGTTTTGTTATGTTTTTAGGATATCAAAAATATCTTGTAAAAATTAAGCATTGGTAATTCCTATTCCCAATGTTAAATTTTTGGTGGTTACCTACATTTCTTAAAAAAAAAAAAAATAACATTTTGTTACCGGAATATGTATGATATTTTCTGATAAGCCCTTAAAAATACTATTTTTATAATTTTCTTGTTTTTGGCACATCCTTAAAAAAAATTTAAAATATTTTTTGTAGGTAGGTACAGTGGCCGACAAGGAATTTCGAACATCAAATCTCTATCATTTCAAAAAATGTCAGTGCAAACCACACTTTAATTGCTAACATGAAATTGATTTTTATTGACGTTTACATATTTTTTTATTATTGACGTTTGTAATTTGTAATTTAAAAGTGAATTTAAAGCGTCAACTTGACCACTGATATAGAAAATGCCAGCTGTATCTTACTTTAATATAGTTAAAATCAGGGCCGAGCCTAGGGTATCTGCCGCCCGGGTGCAAGAATTAAATTTGCCGCCCCCATTAATGTAAAAAATTAGGTTGTCGGTAGGGAAGGAGTTCATTCTCAATAAACATATAACAAATTTTATAGTAAAATAACAAAGTATTTATTAACAAATACATAAAAGAATAAAATAAAAATACATTCAGGAAAAAAAAACAAAAATAATTAAACTAAACTAAAAAACTAAAATCTACTTTTCTCGCTTTTTTAATAGCAAATTCCCTAATCAAGTCGCCTACATCCAAGTTGTTAGAAATATCTTCTTCAGTACTTATAATTGCTAAATTTGAAAGCCTGAATTGACTCATATTGGATCTTAAATAGGTCTTAATTAGTTTTAATTTCGAAAATGACCGCTCTCCATGGGCAACAGTAACTGGTATCGTCAAAAATATTCTTAAAGCTACAAATAAATTCGGAAAGATGATTAAGATCATTAACTAGTTTTTAACTTAAACGCATTAAAAGACAAAATAAACTACTATGTTTGCATCCTATTTGCCTCACGTTAATAGAAAAACTAAAAATTGCTGAAATACGCAGCCGTCAAATCGGAAGAAATTATGCTTTAACTTAGCTTCAGCTTGTAAACAATATCACGTGGTACACAGCGCGCGATTTGATTGGTTTCCCGTAAGCCCGCTTCCGTAAAACATGAAACTTGACGAACTCGAAGCGGACGGACGGAAAGCGAAGCGGGCGGGCGGCAATCTATAAACCGGGCTTTAAGAAAATTGTCATCATTATTTTTTGGGGCTATCGCGCGTTCGGTTATGTCTTTTTTATCATTGCCGCCTGACAGCACAATTTTGGCATTGTTTTTATGTGTAGAATAAAAACGATGATTCCTTGAAACGCCGACATCAATAAAACGCAAATGATTTTTAGAAAGTTTTTTGCATATTGCAAGGTGGCTTTTTTATTCTTGATAATATGATACAAATTTTTTGATGATATTTTGCCGCCCTGTGTTAGTGCCGCCCGGGTGCCATGCACCCCTTGCACCCCCGGCACGGCTCGGCCCTGGTTAAAATGGTAACCCTTCTTCAGAGCGGCATGTCGTATGGACAAGTTTCGGTACATTTAGGTATACCAGATTCTGTCAAAAAATAACGGGACATTTTGTGTAAATTAACCTTAATTACAAAAATGACACAATCAACAATAATTAAGTAACGTCAAATTTACAATTTGCATTGTATCATTGTGTCAATTTTGTAATTAAGGTAAATTCATACAAAATGTCCCTCTATTTTTTGACAGAATCTGGTCACGTTACCAAAGAGCACCATACATGCAATTATGCGTAAATGGACACTATAGTTATAACTGAATCAGTGGATCGGCGTCCAGGTTCTGGGGGTCGCCGAATATTTTCCGCTGAAGAAGACGAAGCGATCATAGATGTAATTAGGAAAAATCCTTTCTTCAACGCCGTTCAAGCAGTCGGAATTACATATTTCCCGGGGTCAGTCAGAACTGCTCATCGACGAATAAAGGCAAGTGACTTGCATAATCATGCGGCAGCAAGAAAACCAAAATTAAGGCCTTGGCATAGGAAAGCAAGAATTGGTTTCGCATTACAACACCTAGCAGAAGATAATGCATTTTTGAGTCGGGTAATTTTCTCCGACGAAAAAACTTTTCAATCATGCCCAAATGGCCGGATTAGGGTATATAGGCCCCATACACGCTACAATGAACGGATATGTTGATGCAGTCAAAAGTAGCGGACGCTTCTCTGTCAACATTTGGGGCTGGATTTCGGCGGAGAGTCCTGGGATAATACTGCTCGTAGAGGAGAGACTAACAAGTGACGTTTATATTAGGATACTACAAAACGTGATGCTACCTTCTGTGGAACTGCATTATCCTAACAATAATTTTGTTTTTCAACAAGATAACTGCTCGGTTCACACAGCACGGAGGGTAGCAGTATGGTTTCAAAATAATAATATAAACGTCCTTGATTGGCCTAGTCACAGTCCGGATTTAAATCCGATAGAGAATATGTGGGGATTAATGACAAAACGTTTAAAGGAGCGACGGATAGAAGTTCAAAATAGGGAAGAACTTATCCTTGCAATAACTGAAGCCGGGCAAGGTTTGCCATTGGATTACCACCGAAATCTATGTCTCTTCATGCCGACTAGATTGGCACAAGTTATTCAATCGAATGCAGCAATGACCAAATATTAGTTTACATATTTTTGTTTAGTTTACTTTGAATATTACAAAATTTAATTAAATTGTGTATTAAATTATTTTAATTTGGTTGTCTTTGTGTGATTCTATAAATGGCAAAGATCATTAAATAAAATTTTGCTTTCGCTGTCAAGATGACGCGTCATGACTGTCCGGAAGTAAGGTTAGTTGTCATAAAGGCAGATTTAGATTTTGATGTCAAATGAATTATAAGTCTTTCAAAATTTCGTGTCCCCCACTGTAATATTCTAATAATCCCTCAAAAAAAATATTTTTATATTTTTTTTGGTTTTCGGATATCCTGGCAAGATACAAAACAGGATTATAGTATTAAGATTGATCCAATTGGACCACTCTGTTAAGCAGTGATTCACCTACCTAAAATTATTAGCTATAATAAATATTATAGCTAATAATATTAGGTAGGTGAATCACTGCTTAACAGAGTGGTCCAATTGGATCAATCTTAATACTATAATCCTATAATATTATAAAACTTCAAAAATATTTTTTTAACAATTAACTTGATTGTTACTTAAATTAAGACAATTTTCCATTATTTTTTTTTCTAAAATGACTAATGAAGCAATTAAAGTGATGGTTTTTTTTTAAAAGGGTAAAAGTGGAATGTGCAGCTGATTGCACGGGTACCTGCAGAAATAAAAATGTTGTTTACAAGCCGTCGTTCGGTTTCCCACCGCGCGGCGCGCATTTGTATTGCGCACGCGATCGAAGCGGCCGAGCCGGTGGCGCCGCCTCGTCATCGTCGCGTACTACGTAAACGGCGAACCGAAAGATCGACGGACGCCAGCCGATCAGTCGTGCCGCGAGGCCATGTACCTACAGCATAGAGACTGTCTTTGCGCTCCGTGCTACTAAATGCTAAACACATTTAACAACAATTGCACTGTTTGCCGATGACTTTCCGCTAAACATTTGACAGTCAGAATTTGAAGCCGAACGTCATTGGAGTTGGGTATTTCACGGCCACTGCGACGCATTGCGTTGCCGCAGCATTTCCTGCTGTTTTCTCAGTGTTTCTATGTTGGAATTGGAATTTTCGAACCGACTCAATGTCCAAGCGTAATTTTGTGCAGTGCTCATACTGAGGTTAAGATTGATTATGCCGACAACGTGTTGTTTATTATTATTGTTGCTCCATTAAATGTGTTGTGATTTTGTGCGATAGTTACTGTGACTTGTGAATACTGACCATGGATATACTTCCCAGCGTCGATATCTTCCGTGAACTTCAGGACATCCACGACACCGGCTACTTCTCGGCAAAGCCATCGCTGGATGATCACTGGCAACAGGTAAATTATCACCTTTACACATGTCTCCCATAACCACAAAATCCCATCTGTCACTTTGCGCGCTCTTACACTAACAATAACAAAGAATTCAACAAAAACGCATCGCTGTCTTATGTTTTTTATCATTAATAGTTAATTAAGTGTCAAAAACATAAGACAGCGATGCGTTTTAGTTGATTTCTTTGTTTTTGAGAAATGAAGAGCGCGCAAAGGAATAGGGTTATGTGAGATGTGTTCACCTAATAATAATAATAATAATAATAATAAAACCACCGAAACTGCATAAAAATAAAATTATCGAGTTTAAATAAATTCTTTAGAACTTTGTAATAGTTGCATTGGAACAAGAGAAAATTCATCACGATAATGTAACGATTAAGTTAACCCTTGTGCAAGAAAAGTTTTATTACTTATAACAGACAACAAAGTCGCTATTGTTTCAAACAATTTGGATTCCAAACTAGTTTTCAAACTGTCATCTTAGACTATTTAGATTAGGTACCAAACGAAGTTAACAAATTAATATTGCAATTTAAGTTAGTAGGTATAATACCTACATACGAATTTCTTTTTAAAATTAAAAAAGTAAAATTTTACAATAACATTTAGTACCTGTAATAGTCCCTGACCTAAGTAACATTTCGCGCATTCCGGTTAACTAATTTTAATATTCTGTTCATTGAATAATTGGATACAATTGCTTCTGCATGTTTTTCTATACATATTGTTTAATGGTAGGTTATTTTAGCGAAACAGTAAAAAGTAGGTAAATAAAATGAATGCCAAACAATGTAATTTCTCGTCATCTTGATTAAACAATCAAATATCGGGAAAGTCTGTCTGGTGAAAATTTCTATTTATATCAGGTGCCATTATTATATAAAACCAGTCAGATGGAGGGGTGGCATTGTAACATCACCCTCTCCGAATTATTAAGTAATTCTGTAAACTGGTGACACATACGTCTGCCAAGGTCGAACTATTGTGCCCTGTTGCCTAGTCTACCACTTTTCAAATTGAAATTTACTATTGTTTACCATTATCTCGTAACGTTATACAGGACTAGGTTATCTTATCAATTATTTAAGAGCTTTATCGCGGTGTGCAATAAATAACAGGTATATTCATGACATAATTATGCAAATAGAGTCCAATAAGAGCAACGGTGCTGCGCTAAAAATAGCCCGGTAATTAATGAAGATAATTTAAAGGTCTGCCCAACTCGGCTTTTCACTATTTAACTTAAACGACGTTATCATGCATCTATATGGACTAACCGTAAACCAAGAAGACTTAATAAAGGAGGAGAAACTTTCGACCCCAAGGCATAATAAACAGACTGGCAAATGCCAAATAGCGTGCGCAGGGAAGACTACACATGCGCAAAGGGCTCACCCCGCATAGGTGTCATCCAATGCTTGCTGGATAATTTACAATACATACACTTACAGACACAGAGTGTGCGCACGAGCATTTTGCGCTTCCGTAGGTTAGTAGTTACGTTTTTTGGCGTGGTCCCACCTAGCAAGTTGCTCCTCCTCTCTTTAGTCATCTTGAACTAATAACAGAATTTTGTATGTATACATATACCCACTTACTATACTAAAGTAAGTATAGTTACTATGTATGTTAGGAAATCCATTTTTCAAATAAAAATTATGCCGCAGGAATGTATTAATTTCTTCGGGTTTAAATTACCTTAACTACCTACCAGTTATTTATTATGCATTTAGAAGGTGTCTTCGCTAGGTTAAATTGAAAATCCTCTTCTAATGACTATTTAATTACGACATATTTTGATCTGAAATCGATGACGTAGCTTCTGGAACAAGAAGTTTAATAAAATTATATTTATAATGGGTCTGTAAGTTAATGAAGGTTTTGTAGTTGAAATATTGTATTGTAGATATACGGGTTATTAAATAAAGGTTTAATATCCCCCATAAAAATGTTTATTTGATATTGGTTGTACACCCTGATTATTCAACACAACACAAATTAACAGTAAAAATAAAATAAAATAGGTATGGCCAAACTTTGTTTTCTTTGAAATAAAGGGTTTATGGACATTTTTGGAGTAAAAAAGTAACGAATTTGGTTTAATAAATATTACATCACACATTATTCGTTCAAAAAAAATTTTAATTTATTTTATATAAATTCTTTTCAAAGCGAAGATTATTAAGTATCCGCTAGGAATACTTCTCTTCTGGGCCGTAAAGCAACCTATATTTAACTACTTTTTTATATGATTTTACTCATCCAAGCACCACCAAAGCCAAACTAATTGCATTTTTAACTACGAATTTCGACAACTCAACTTGGCAACTGCACAATGTAACCTACAATAACTTATACATAACCACAATTATATTTATAACTAGCGACCAACTTGACAACTGTATTTACCAACCAAAACCCTTAATTTGCAAAGTTGCCGCAGTCCAGATAAAAAAAATGATCTTATGAGATAAGCACAAAAACACTGCGCTCACCATTAGATAAAAATTAGAAAAGAAGCAAGCCATGATTTTCAAGATACCATAGCAACACACGTTTACTTGCATGCTGTCACATTCACAAATTTGAAAAATGCGTTATTCGTTGGAAGACATGTGTGATATGTTGGAAGTTTTTTATCAATCTGATAAAAATGCCTATGCCGCTAGGCAAAATATTCGCAAACACTCGAAAACAACATTTAAAAATATAGATGCAAAATTGGACGGCTTTCTGCAGAATGGGACCAACCCACACCATGATGAAACTGAGAAAAAAGCTATCAAAGATTTTAATAATTTTAAAATTACCTGTTAATTTTATGCTGATTTTGGACTTACGGAGGTTTAAGGGATATAATTTAATAATTTCATCAGGTGGATTTTGTGATGTGTAAGGGTGACGAAAAAAATGGGCTTTTGTTGGTTGGTTCCTTTCTGCAATTTATGAAAACTACTATCTGATGTATGTATGTATTTAAAGAAAAGCGACAATTATTTATTTCCAAACAAAATACAACTGATATTACTATTATAATGGTAATATGAATTAATTGTGATTCTATCTGAAATTCGTCCACATCATCTTCCAACCCCACCTCATCTTGTAAGCTACCAAAAAATGCATCAAGACTGCAGAAGCAGGAAATCTTTAAAGACTTTGGTAGTGGGTCTACCAGCCTGCTTTTTTACAAAAAAGATCCAACCCACTTGCAGATATTCTACAGATTCTAATTCTGGATTAGTAATCCACACTATTATTGAATGTTGGTTGGTTCAATGATTAATAGATTTTACTACACTTGCATTTTGGCTATGACCTATTTTGCAGATAAATTATACATACTTAAAGTTCATAGGCTAAATATCTCGATTTTTTTGGTTTTGTGGGTTGGTTCCTTTCTGCAGAAAGGCGTCCAATTTAGAAGAGATAAAAGCGGATAAAAGTGTCGCCGACTACAAATTTTGACAACTCAACTTGACAACTGCACAATGTACCTAACCTACAATAATTTATATATAACCACAATTAGATTTATAACTAACTTAGCTTAGTTTGATTTAATCAATGCGCCCAACTTGACAACTGTATTTACCAACCAAAACCCTAAATTTGCAACGTTGCCGCAGTCCAGATAAAAAAAAGAACTTTACATGTATAATAATAATAATAAAAATAATAATAATAAATTAAAAAAACTTTAAATTACGTTCATTTACAATTTAAAGTCCAATTTTAAAATTATTGAATCAATATTTTAATTTTGTGCAATTAGTAAGATCGATTAGTTTATCGAATCGCAATCAAATTAGTGTTTTTTCTTGAACCAATTCGTCAAAGATACAATCACATAATTCTTGTTTTTTATCTGGTTTAGTTATTTTTTTCCGTGCTTTTAATCAATTTTTCCTTCCGGCCATAAAAATAATCGAGGCGGGCGGACGAGACCGTCGAGGCACAAAAATAAGAATAGATATAAACTCCGTATCTGCATCTGTTTATCTTTTATTTCGTTGTTTATTTATTTTTGTGTTTTGTTAAATAACGGATCGTTAATAACTCGCCGGGTTTTGTTTAATTGGATTGTCAAATCTAAAGGGAAAACACACATCTGAAAAATGACGGTCATTTGAAAAACGTCCGTCCGGTTTTTTATTTATTTCATAATTTATCGACTGGAAGATAAAAATATTTTATTTTTATTTATTTGTTTTCTGATTGCAAAATGCTGCACTATGATTTTTTGGTGCTCCGCAAGGGTCCTACTTGACACCATTATGTTTTACTGTTAAATTAACAGTAAAACATATTAACAATATTTAGGTCGATTTAGGTATTTATTAAAATTCTAAATTAAAAAACCCCATTGCTTTATTGTAACCAAAGGTTTTAATCTCGGTTTTAATAAAACCTAAGGACCATGCAATTTAAATGTTTGTTCAAAAATGCTTTAAATAAATATTAATTTTAAAATGCGATAAAATCACTAAAAGTGGCGGTATCTTGTTATAGCGTTATAGCGTCATGGATATATCCAACAAATAATTAAGATGACATCCAAGTAAGTAATAACGGACACCGTAATGTGAACCTTCTTGTACACTGAACTGACATCAAATGTCTTTTTGACGTCATTATAATTAACTTGGCCACTTATGCTAAATGAAGTTAATAGAAAATATATATATACAAGGTGTCCCTAAACTTAGTGGCATAAATTTAGGAGCAGATTAAGCAAGTCAAAATAAGACGAAAATCTAAATAAATATTTTTCCTAATTACGTACCTATGTTTAAAAGATACAGGGTGATAAAGTGTTACTTATCTATCACCTTTCTAAGACTACCATAGTAGAAGTTACATTAAAAAAACTGATATGATAAGTAAAACTTTATCACCCTGTATCTTGGAAACATAAGTAATTAGGAAAAATATTTATTTGGGTTTTCGTCTTATTTTGACTTGCTCAATCTTTTCCTAAATGTATTCCAATAAGTTTA